AAGGTCTCGCTCTCTCTCACCCCTCTCTGGCCCCTTGTGTGTCTCGCACACCCCATCCCTTATTGTGTTTCCCTCTCCCCATTAAAGCGCACCCACGTGGGAGCCGCGTGTCCCGTCTCTTCCTTTTGCGCGTGTCTCGTCTATCCTGTGTTTGTCCACACACCCATCCCGCCGTTTTTAAAGGAATAATAGGTGGGATGCTGGGAACTGTAGTTCACCCGCCTTGTCTCCAAAAGGAACAGCAGAGACAAATCTGTAGGGCATTTTCTTCATTGATTGATTGATTGATTGATGTGGGAGGGCCCAACTCACTGGGGGCAGTACCATCTCTGGGCATGTGATCCTTGGTGGCATAGGAAAGCAGACTGAGCCAACCTTAGGGAACAAACCAGTAAGCTTAACTTGCTTTTGCTTCAGTTCCTACCTCTAGCTTCTTTCCTTGAGTTCATGTCCTAACTTCCTTCAGAAATAGACTGTGATGAAGAAAACATAAGAGGAATAAACCTTTTCCTTTCCCAGTTGCTTTTGGTCATGGTTTCTTAGCACATCAATAGATACCTTAAGACAGCCAATAAATAATTCAAATTCAGAGGATTTGAAACAAATTTAACTGAATGCCTATAAATTGAACTCTGAAACCAGCAATCATATAATACTCATTATTTTCCAGCCATAGAATATGTATGATGATTACATCATAGTACATGATACACAATCAAAAAGTGGGACTGAGATGGCTCAGTGGTTAAGAGTGATTGCTGTTCTTGCAGAAAACCTGAATTTGTGTTTCCAGCATTCACATCTCGCAGCTGACAACTTTCTATAACTAACTCCAGAGTAGTTGATGCTTTTGGCCTCCATGGGCAACCACATGTATATAAACACACACACACACACACACACAAGGGCTGGAGAGATGGCTCAGAGGTCAAGAGCACTGGCTGCTCTTCCAGAGGCCCTGAGTTCAATTCCCAGCAACCACATGGTGGCTCACAACCATCTGTACTAAGATCTGGCGCCCTCCTCTCTCGTGTGGGCATACACCAAGGCAGAATGTTGTATACATAATAAATAAATAAATCTTTAAAAAAAAAAACACACACACACAAGTCCGTACACATTTGTAGGAAGACTGCCAGCCCCCAAATCATGACACAGAGATTTATTACTAATTAGGAATGCTCAGCCTTAGCTTAGACTTGTTTCTAGCTAGCTTTTTTTTTTTAACTTAAATCAACCCATTTCCGTTGATCTATGTGCTGCCCTGAGGGTCATTTACCTCATCTACATACTGTCCATCCTGCTTTCCTGCTTCCTCTGAGTCTGACTGCCTGGCTCCCCTTTTTTCTCTTCCCACTAGCCCCGCCCATTCCTCCTCTGCTTAGCTATTGACCATCCAGCTTTTTTTTAAAATATTTATTTATTTATTATATATACAATATTGTGTCTATATATGCCTGCAGGCCAGAAGAGGGCACCAGACCTCATTACAGATGGTTGTGAGCCACCATGTGGTTGCTGGGAATTGAACTCAGGACCTCTGGNTGGTTGTGAGCCACCATGTGGTTGCTGGGAATTGAACTCAGGACCTCTGGAAGAGCAGGCAATGCTCTTAACCACTGAGCCATCTCTCCAGCCCCTCCAGCTTTTTATTAGAATAATCAGGTGCCTTAAGCAGGCAAGGTAAAACAGCAACATATAATTTTTACATAATTAAACAAATGCAGCAAAAACAAATGTAATCCATCTTTACAGAGCTAAACAATTATTCTGCAACACAATCAAATACAACACATCTTTACACAGTTAAACTAACATTCTATTCTACAACACACATTGATTTAAAAAAATCTTTATAAAGAGTTTTCAAATGGGAAGTTCAGCTCATATAGAAAGGCTTGAAACCCTATCTGGTATAAATTAGTGATAACAAGGTCAGTAGTTATTCAGCAGGAATCAAGGCTTATACCTACCATCGAGACATGGTTTGGGGCATAGTTATTATGGAGTTCTTAACTGCTGGACTATGAACAGCAAAGTAGACATGACTACCCTTGAAATTTGTTCTCATAACCAGAGAGAAGGAAAAAACCAAAGCTGTGGTCAGAAATGGTATGATAGAGCATTCCACCATGGTATCAATGGCTCAAGAATATTATCATATTTGCTTTCCTATTTACAAGGTCTCAAAATCTCACACAGTGCTATATTTTCATCTCTAGCTAAATCCAAGATCCATCTCTTCTCTGGAACACTTAGGCTGTCAGTGACCTGCTGCACCATCTACTTCATGTGTCTGTCTATGAGAAAGACCTCACGGTATCTCCTTTAGGTGGCACACTGGGTTTCTTTCTACAGTAAGTTTCCTATGGAGTTTGAAGAAACTTATTTAAAAGAAAATTTTTTTCAAGTTACAATGAAAAATCCATGAAAATTGTTGAAAGATTGTGCTTTCACAAGAAAACGAAGTAAACTATTGCATTTAACTCTTTTTAGCCATATATATATATGTATATATATATATAATATAAAAACATATATATATTTCAAGAGATGGTTTAGAGCAGTGTTTCTCAACCTTCCTACTGCTGTAACCCTTTAAGACAGTTCCTCATGTTGTGGTGACCCCAATCAAAAAATTATTTCATTGCTACTTCATAGTTATAATTTCGCTACTTTATGAATCACAATGTAAATATCTGATATACATGATATCTGACATCAACCCCTGTGGGTGGTGAAACTCACAGGTTGAGAACCACTTGTTTAGAGTATAAATATATAGGTTTCTTAAATCAGCTTTTAAAGTTAGTATGCAAAGTAATGGGTAGCATGATGGCATTTTCATACATGCTTCAGTCTTCCTCATCCGTTTGCCCCATTTTGCTGATCCCCTTCCTCTTCCACATAGCCCCTTTCTGCTTTCCTGTCACAGATGTTGCATCATTCTTTCTCCCCAAGATCTTTTTCATGTCTGTGTCCTCTTTTCTGATCTATGACCACATACAGAAACATTTAAATCTAGATTCTTCAGATGTGAGAAAATGTATTATTTGTCTTTCTTTGTCTGGCCTATTTCCCATAACATCGTGATTTCCCTTTCTGTTTTCCTCATCACAGGATGAATCTTTCTAGATATTTGGACTTCTCTGAGTTTTCTGTTTCTTGTTATTTTGTTTCTTTAAGTTTATGTAAGATATTTTTGGTTTCAGAAAGCATGTCCGGTGTGCAGGAAAGAATGTTACTGTTCTCTTGTTGCCTGTATACTTTCCTATTGTTCTTAGGATTAGAATTTTCATCCATAGCATTTTCTTCAATCTTACCATTGAGACCCTCCTTTCCAGTTGTCAGTGGACATCAGTACAGTACTGTTCGTCAGGCACTGAGCGTTAATTCAGAATATCTTCCTTGAAATCCATTGACCCCCATGTGAACTCCATTTACTTCTAATCTTTCTTCTCTCCAATATTTGAATAGCTACTTTGAGTCAGAAAAAAAATAGGCATAAGTGAAGATAATTATTATAATAACTCCATCTGGGCTCGTTTCCTTGCATACCAGTGAGAAGAAAATTCTAGGTAATAGTCTTGTCTCTTGCAGTTTTAAGTTGGAAGAAGTAGCCTTACTCAATATTGTTAAGATCTATGTACTGGTCAATGCAAATATCTGTCTGCAAATAGTTGAATAGTAAACAGTTATGTTATTTTAAAATATTTAAAATAAGTCTAATGTACTATTCACATAACATTTTTAATTTAAAAATTTAAAGTAACATATCTACTTAAAACATTAAACAAAGCAAATTACCTAAGTTGCTTCCTGAAATAAAAGGCCTGTTGAGTCTCTTGAGTTTACTTGTAATGTAGCCATTTGGCAATCAGCTTCAGTCTACTCTGCCACATTACTCTTGTCTTTTGACTTCTACATTGGCCAACATTCAACATCCACATGTATTGTGAGGAACGGCGGGCTGCTTCCCATGCGATCCCACCCGGCTCCTGCACGTCTAGCTTTACACCCAAAATAACAACATACAAATTGTACTCTTTTAAACACTGCTTGGCCCATTAGCTCTATCCTCTTACTGGCTAACTCTCACATCTTGATTAACCCATTTCTATTAATGTGTGTAGCACCACGAAGTGGTGGCTTACCAGGAAGATTTTAACCTGCATACATCTCGGAGAGGAGAGCTATGGCGTCTGCGTCTCTGCCCTTCTTCCCAGCATTCTGTTCTGTCTTCTCTGCCTACTTATGTTCTGACTCATCAGGCCAACCAGTTTCTTTATTAATTAACCAATGAAAGAAACAGATAGATAGAAGACCCACCTACATCACACAAGGACAATCCACCCTACATCCAGATCTCTGGGTAGCACTTGAACTCATGTACTCTCAGTTTACCTGTTCTTTGCAAACCATCTGCTTCTTAAATTGGTTCTTCTACTCCTGTGAATGGCTAGTCAACACTTACAAAATCAGGGGGGTTTTCTTTCTTTTTTAAGATATATATTTTTTATTACATATACAGTGCTCTGTCTGCATGTGTGCTGCAGGCCAGAAGAGGGCACCAGATCTCATTAAAGATGGATGTGATTGTTGGAAATTGAACTCAGGACCTCTGGAATAGCAGTCAAGTACTCTTAACCTCTGAGCCATCTCTCCAGCCCATCTTTCTTTTCTTTTCTCTCTCTCTCTCTCTCTCTCTCTCTCTCTCTCTCTCTCTCTCTCTCTCTCTCTCTCTTTTGAGACAGGGTTTCTCTGTAGCTTTGGAGCCTGTCCTGGAACTAGCTCATATAGATCAGGCTGGCCTCAAACTCACAAAGATCCGCCTGCCTCTGCCTCCCAAATGCTGGGATTAAAGGCGTGCACCACCACCGCGGCAAAAAAGCAGTTTTCTTAAGGTCAGACTTAGTACATCTTCCTCTCAGCTGTACCCTGGTACTTTGTACAAGAGAACAAGTGCCACCTGGAGGCAACACCTTCACTGCTGTCTGTGTGGAGATTCACCTATTGCTCCCACCAATAGTCTTTTGCATAAGACCAATTTCTAAAAAAATAGTATAGGCTCTCCAAACTGAAAACAATAATTTTTAAAGTTCCAGAGATTCCGAAAATAAACAAAAAACTTAAAAATATGATCCATTAAGCACATGAGTAAACATACTGTTCAGGAATATACCTGAAGGCAGGATTTCAAGGTGGTATTTACATACTCATGTTCACAGTAGTCGAAGGTAAAGGTAACCCAAGTGCTTCTCCATGGATAAAGAAGACATGCTACTTACATACAGTGGAATATCGCTCAGCTTTAAAATCAAAAGAAATCCTGTTAGTCTTTAGGTCACGTGAAAAAAAGCCAGTCACAAAACAGAAAAACTGCATGAGCTCACCTATATGGAACACCTAAACAGTCAAATTCAGAGAAACTAAACGGTGATTTCACAAACTTGGAAGAAGGGGAAGTAGGCATGTATTGTTTAGTAAGCATGGAATTTTTAGTTTTGCAACATAAGTAATTGCTGGAGATCTGCTATAGAAAAACATGACTATATGTACCACTTGAATTATTTCCTTATAAATGGTAAAAACAATACAATTTTAAGTTATTTGTCCTTTACCACAACTCAGAGTTCCTAGACCTGATAGCTCTTTTTATTTGCAGCTTTTCAGAACTTTCTATTGGTACCATTGTCTCTGTCTCTCCTGCCCACTTTAGCCCACTCCTATCTGATTTCAATTACCTCTCCACAGTTCTAGTCTCAGTATACTCAGGGTATTGGCCTTTGTTCACCACTTATTTCTGGAAGTTTTCTGATCCCTTGACTTCTGTGAGACTCTGCCTTATACTTTGCTCATGTCTCAGTGACAAGTCTTCTTCTGTTTAGTCTTTGTTTTCCTGCTTATGTCCTTGTCCTGTCTCTATTTTGTGCCTTTTACAATTTTAACATTTTCCTTGTGAAAGCACAATTAAACAATGCCTGCTAGGTATCAGATTTTTATCTCTGCTCAGGACTCTCTCTGCCTTGTGGACTCTATATGAGTCCAATAAGCTATTTCAATTCAGTTCATCAAATGACACTCATCCTTCCTGCTGTGTCTTCTATAAGTAATATACCCCTCCACATTTTGGTCTAAAGCCTGGGGTTCATACTAGAATCCTGATTCTCTTTTATTCTCCATATCAAATTGGTCCAGAAGGTGTTATTCATTCTCAAACTTTATCTCAACTGCCAGTGTTTTCTTTCCACCACCGACCACTTTCAAGCTGGTCTGCTTTTAATTTTGTCTTTAAGTTAACTTTCCACATCATTTTATTGTTTTGGGAGTCTCTTGAACTCCCCCAATCAACAACTTGAAGGAAGGCATCCCATGCCTAACACTGGAGTTTTTGTTAGGTAGTCTATAGCTTTGGGGGAGCATTATTGCCATACATGATGTAACTTCATTTACATTTTCATTTAAATTACATCTACACACATACACTTGATGTTTATGTATGGCTTTATTTTTCATCTGTAATGTCCTTTATCCCTCTTTCCTCCCTCTCCTTCTGGACTGCCCTCCTTCCCGCCAGATAAAGTACCCTTATTTTTCCAATTTCCCAATTCATCCTGCTTTCTATAGCTCCTTCTACCCCTGCTTTCTGTGGGAACTTCAAGTTATACACTCACATCTTAAGATGCAGAAGTAGGACCCACGAAGCAGAGACTATGCAGCATTTGTCTTTCTGGGTCTGGATTACTCCCACTCTGTATAATATTTTCTAGTTTCATTCACTTACTTGCAAATTGATTTCATTTTTTCTTTACAGCTGACATAGAATTCCATTGTGTATATGTACCACATTTTCATTATCTTTCATCAGTTGAAGGACATTTAGGTTGTCTCTATTTCCTAGTTATTATGATGAACGTGATGAGTATAGCTGAGCAAATATCTGTAAAACAGGCCATTGAGTCCTTTAGACATATACCAGGGAGTGAATATAATGTGTTAAGATTTCAGTACTACAGTAATAATAATAAAAACAGCACAGTAATGGCAATAATAATAGTAGCATAGGAATGGAACAAAAGCAGAAGTAAATCAGTAGAAGAAAACAAAAGTCCCAAACATGCGTGCATGTAATTTTACAGCCATCTGACATTTGACAGAGACGCCAAAAATACACACTGGAGAAGAAACAGCTTCTTCAACAAGTGATGTATGAGAACTGGATGTCTACGTGTAGAAGATGGAAGTTAGACCCACATGCATTATCCTGAACTCAAATCAACATGAAATGGATCAAAGAACTCAATGTGAAATATTAAGTGCTGTAACTGCTAGAAGAAAACATAGGTGGTACCCTACAAGACAAAGGTGTAGGAAGAGACTTTCTGACCAGGTCTTCATGCAGTTAGGAATTAAGACAATTAACAAATAAGACCTCATAAAACTAACATACATACATATATATATATATGTATATATATATGGCTCAAAGAACAATAAACTAGTGAATAGGATAGGAAACCCACAAAGTGGGAGGAATCTTTGGCAGTTAGTCATTTGATAGAGTATGCAGAATATATGAAGGGGGAAAAAAAGAATCAAGAAATCCAATGACCCAGTTAAAAAAAGGGCTGGTCGGGGGCAGCTGTAGCTCTCAATTGAGAATTCTCAAAAGAAGAGATGAAAAATGGCTAAGAATTATCTTTAAACATGTTCATCATCTTTAGCAATTACAGAAATGCCAATTAAAACAACTTTGAGATTCCATATTACTACAATTAGAATAGCTAAGATCAAGAAAACAACTGACAATAAATGTTGGTGAGGCTTACTAGACCTGGATGGAGGTGGGTGGTCCTTGGACTTCCCACAGGGCAGGGAACCCTGATTGCTCTTTGGGCTGACGAGGGAGGGGGACTTAATTGGGGGAGGGGGAGGGAAAGGGGAGGCGGCGGTGGGGAAGAGACGGAACGCTTTAATAAATAAATAAATAAATAAATAATAAAAAAAGCAAAGGTATTTGATGAATACTCAAGGCATCATATTTAAATTTTATTTTGTATTTATATTTTATATTTACCTAAATTTATACTGAATGCATATGATTACAAGTACATACATATACATGTGCTTAGAAATGTGTGTCTTTTTTATTCAGTCCTCCACATTCCCCTCTTTAATATGGCATTTTGTTCTATATACATTGATGAAAATTTAAAACAAACAAAAGGAACTTTAGTCAAACTCAAAAAAAAATGTTGGTGAGGATGTGGGAATGGGAACTCTTTGTTCACTGTTGATAGGACTGGTTCAGCCACTGTGGAAGTGAGAGAGGCAAAGTCTGAAAAACGAGCAAAACCGAAGACAAAAACAATCAAAAACCCGATTTAAAAAAAAAAAATCTCATCTCTTTAAAATTCGCCACACAAAGATCCGGTCTGCACTCTTCTCCAGCTAGATTCTTTGCAAGGTCTTATGCTTTTTCAGTAATACCTTTGCCCATGCCATTCTCTCTGCTTCAAGTCTTTCCGACCTGCTTGGCTAAGCGCCAATCATTACTCAGCTCAGGTATGCTCCTGCAGTATAGGATAATGCTCACCTCGTGGTTACCTCGCTCTAGTTCGTTCTTCCAAAGTAGGTAGCAAAGTCTTTTCCTTCATCCCAAATTCCACAGCCCAGCCTCTAATACCGTGTCGGGTTTGTAAGTGGCTTTCTGTCCCCCGACTTGCGTGCGCGCGTACGCGTGCGCGCACGCTGGAATGCGGTGTGAATTGGACTTTCTGCTGAGAACATAGTACACACAGGACTTAAAAACAGCATCACAATTTATTTAACTAATGTCTTTCAAACAACATATATTCCCCCCATTGACTTACGGAATTCCTCTATCACCTCGGATAGAGGAATAGCCTCGGATAGAGGAATAGCGTTGCTAAGCAACAACACGCCACTTTGGCGCCTGCGTGGCCCGGATGAGGCTTCCTTTGGTAACGGAGGACGCACGCAGACGCAGACGGAAAAACTGTCTCCGTTTCCGCCCTACTATTCTCAATCAACTGTTAAAGCAGCGCGCATAGCAAACCACTTCCGGAAAGGTGAAGCTGCGGTTACCGGGCTGTAACATGGATGCTGCAAGCGAAAGCGAAGAGCCGGTAAGATGCTGTTCTCGGGCTCAGTAAATAATACCCAAGTAGAGATTGAATGGTGAGCGACCTAGGGAGCCTGGGTTCGCTCACCTATTCCTGCTTTTTCTTTTCTTTCTCAGGTTTGTGGGGAAGTGGTGTCCGTGGCCCACGCTCTTTCCCTCCCAGCCGAGTCGTATGGCAATGACGTGAGTATGACTCACCCACTCTTCCCGCCCTCCCAGCTATCTCAGAATGTCTGAAAGCCGCCGCACTGAATTATAAGTCCCTTTCCTGATGTCTTCTTCAGATCTCCCCACGTCCACCCTAACTTTTCTCTGATTTAGAAACACCTAGGGGATGTCTAAACGCCCCACATGTCTAGATTATAATAACCCACACCAAGTCCAATCAGAATGTCTGGGGGAAAAGGAGTAAATACTTGGTAGCTTGTTTTGTGTTTTTTTTTTATTTTTGTTTTATTATTATTATTATTATTATTATTATTATTATTATTATGGTTTTTCGAGACAGGGTTTCGCTGTAGTTTTAGAGCCTGTCCTGGAACTAGCTCTTGTAGACCAGGCTGGCCTCGAACTCACAACTTGGTAGTTTTTAAAGGGCCTTAAATAATCACATTGTGTAGCAAAATTACACTGACTTGTGGTGTGCTTCCTTTGGACCCTTATACATGCTGTGTGTTGAGAGACAAGAAGAAAAAAACGGCCGGAATAGTAATACCACCCAAATCAGAATGTAATTTGTACTAGATGGGTGGCTCAGGCAAGGGTGGAGGCAGGAGATTTCATCAGGGAAATGTAACTTGAACTGGACCCCCAAAGCGTAAGTGGACAAAAAATACGGATTTGGAAGTAGGAATATTGTTTTGCCCAAGTTGGAGAGGTGCGTATGCAGATGGATTTTTCTGACGTCATGAAGGAGACAACAGGTGGGTTGGAAAAGGAGAGTCCAGTGGAACAGCTAGTGGGTACTTGGTCGGACTTATATATAATCTGGCTGCATCATTTGTTCTGGGGTTTTACAGAGTGGAAAATGGCTACCTGACAAACATAAATGATGAGTAAAACATGCTGCAGTCATTAAAGTGAAATATAGTTTCACGTGTATTTTTGTCCTCTAAACAACTCTGAGACACATAGGTGGGTATATTAATGTAACTTTAATAATTATTTAAGTCAGTCCTGATTTTCCACACTTTCGCTGGCTGCTGGGAAAAAAATGTCCAGTAGTCATTGCTTTTGTTATTCTGTATTGGTCATCCTAAGAGCAAAAGGTTTATATTGCCAAATCTTTTAGTTCAGCTTTTATCCCTTGACAGCAACATCATTTTCTGTAGACCTCTTGAGATTTAGCAAAGCGTCATTAACTTATTATTCTTTACAGAACTGAGAGAGTTTTTGGTTTTGGTTTTTCGAGACAGGGTTTCTCTGTGGCTTTGGAGCCTGTCCTGGAACTAGCTCTTGTAGACCAGGCTAGCCTCATACTCACAGAGATCCGCCTCTGCCTCCCAAGTGCTGGGATTAAAGGCGTGTGCCACCACTGCCCAGCTAGAACTGAGAGATTTATGAGCTGATGTTCTCCCTCTTTTGCAGCCTGATATTGAGATGGCTTGGGCCATTCGAGCAATGCAACATGCTGAAGTCTATTACAAAGTGAGTCATCTTCATCATTAAGCAGAATCAGCGTGTAATTTTAGTGTATGGTGGATGCTATGCTAATCATAGTTCTCAGCAACTTGTGCTGTTAAGTTTTGAAGATTGTTTTAACTAACAAAGAAATCTTACCTCCGGGGAATAAGAGTAGAAGTGAATTTGATAATGAAAAGTTCTGTTTGTCTACCCCTGTTGTTTGCTACCTGGAGGAAAGATGACTGGACCATACATAGCAAGCACTTAAATGTTTGTTGAATGAATGAACAATCCACAGAATGAGGGCCAGGCAATACTAGGACTAAAGGGTTCATTCAGTTGCCAAATTGGTAAAAGGAAGAAAAGGAGGAGAGAGATTGTTATTATGGCTCTTAAAACCATTTTAATGACTTCATGCAAGACCTGGGCTGTTAATATTGCCTAAGATAATCCTCTGTCCTGAGAAACATATGGCTTGCTGATGGTGTGGCACTGGAGGGCTTGAAGTGTAATTAGTGACTAGCATCTTTATGTTTGTTTTACTGTCTGGCAGCTGATTTCATCAGTTGACCCACAGTTCCTGAAACTCACCAAAGTAGATGATCAAATCTACTCTGAGTTCCGTGAAAATTTTGAGAAGCTCAGAGTAGATGTATTGGACCCAGAAGAACTCAAATCAGAATCAGCTAAAGAGGCAAGTATCTTCTTAAGTGTTATCTAACATCTGGCCGGTGATATTGATTGTATGTTTTTATGTAAGCGCAAAATTTGTTCAAGGGACTTAAAATAAGGAGCCTGAATTTTATAATAATGAAGTCAATTATGGAATGAATTATTTTCTGTCTTATGCACTTTTTGTGTTTATGGAAACTATTTTTTTTCTTTCCTTGGGCACTTCAAATACCCCATTTACCTATTCCTCTCAGTGAGGAGGAAGGATGAGTTTATTTTAGCAGGACATTTAGCTGGCAAGATTAGATGATGGAATAGTTAATAGGGTGCAGGGAAGATAGGGAGATATTTTGATTCTCTGGATTTTTGTTCCATTAATCTTAGGTCCTGGAAAGCATACAAGTTTTGTTTCTTGCTTATGTGATCATCTCTTACTGACACAGAATATGATATTATAATAGGAAAAGCATTTTCCTTAAAATGGTCTCTTGACTCATGAAGAATTTAAACTTAGCAGGCTGTCACTGATCTTTGAGAACTTGCCCCTAACTCAGTGGACATGTATAACCTAAAAGTATATCCCTGTCCTCTTTGTCTCATTGGTACTTTGGTGAGGATGAATAACCAGTTTGACTTGAGCTAGTTAATAAACAGCTCAAAGCAAAACAGATCCATTTTAGAAATCACATTTTAATTTTGTAGTAAAAAGATTGAGGTGGTTGGTTTTGTTGTTTGTTTTTCCTGATCAAAATGTTGTGTAGGGGGACACCAGCCTGAAAATATAATGTAGCACCCAAATGTACAATTTCACTATAAAGCTGAAAGTCACCTCAGCACTAGTCTCTTTCTCCCGGGCTTTTATTCTCACTGGGGAATCAAACTTCTTTCCTGGCTTGAGTACATTTAGACTCTTGGATTCATCAGCTAAGGTGTCTTTTTTTTTTTTTTTTTTTTTTTTGCCTTATAGAAATGGAGGCCATTCTGCTTAAAATTTGAAGGTATTGTGGAAGACTACAACTATGGTACTTTGTTGCGACTCGATTGTTCTCAGGGCTATACTGAAGAGAACACCATCTTTGGTGAGTCCCCCCCCCCCATTGTTTCACTTATATATTTGAATGGCTTTCATGTGAGTTAAGATTTGTCTGTGGGTTTCTAGCCAGTATACATAATTACCTAAGACCAGGACAATTAATTCTATTTACCTTTCAGCACCCAGGATTCAATTTTTTGCAATTGAAATTGCTCGGAACCGGGAAGGCTATAACAAAGCAGTTTCCGGCAGTGTTCAGGACAAAGAAGGAGAGAAAGGAAGTAACAATGAAGAAGAGGAAGATGAGAAAGGAGCTGATAGTGGAGGAGAAAAAGAGGAAGGAGTCAACACAGAAAATTAAAACAAAACAAAACAAAAAACTAACCAGGGAGGAGGAAAAGAAAGCCAAGAAACATGTGACTCAGCTGAACCCACAAGTATCAGGTGCTCCTTGCACAGACCCCTTGTGCACATGGAGGACTCAGAAGGACATTTTTCTAGCAAATAAGAGAAGCTGCTCTGGGCATAATAGCCTAACCACAATTAGCAGAGTCTCTTAGTTAATTGTTGATTCATACCCTATTTCTTGACTGTAACTTGTTGAAGTAAGACATTTTGTAAATATATTCCTTTTGGTTTGTATTATTTATGACTGATTTTGGAAAATATTTACATTTGTTTGCTACTTCAAAAAATCAATTGTATAATCTCATCACCATATCTCAATATAAAACTGTCTATTTTTTAAGTTTTCTCACTGTTCTCAGTAATAAAATTTCTGCTTAATGTGTTAGCTCCTACTTGGAATCGGTATTAGAAGTTCATATGTAAAAATTGACTCTTAGCCAGGCCTAGTGGCTCATATCTGTAATTCCAACACTTGGGAAACCAAGGAAAGAGAATTGCATGATTTTTAAGCCAGCCTACGTTATAGAGTGAGACTCTGTCTCAAAAAATAAATTGTTTAAAAAAGAATTGGTGTTTGTCTTTGTGGTGACTGTAGCTCTCTGATTTCCTTTGCTGTATTGGAAAGAGCAGCCGCAACTGTCAGGTTAGAGAGTGCAGCCCAGTTTGTTAGAGAAGAGCAAGAGCCTTCACCTCCTTTTAGATTTTTTTTCTGTCAGTCTTTTTGTTTGTTTTTCTGAGACAGAGTCTTGCCTTATAGACCATTCTAGCCTAGTACTTCCTATGTAAGTCAAAGCTAGTTTCCTACTCAGAATCCTGCCTTGTTTATCCTCTGATAACTTAGTTGTTATCTGAAATTTAGCCAATAATAGTAAATGCTAGTATAGTATTTATAATCTAATGTAAATCTGATGAAGTGGCTTCTAATTTTTTGTTTTGTTTTGTTTTGTTTTTTTGAGACAGGGTTTCTCTGTGGCTTTGGAGCCTGTCCTGGAACTAGCTCTATAGACCAGGCTGGTCTTGAACTCACAGAGATCCGCCTGCCTCTACCTCCCGAGTGCTGGGATTAAAGGCGTGCGCCACCATCGCCCGGCTGTGGCTTCTAATTTATAACTATGGGCAAGAACATGTATTTGTATTTGACTCATAACGAACATCTGTTGATTTGATATGGGAGGGAGGTGTTTCCTTCTCAGATGAAGCTGTTTAGAGTGAAGGCTTCAGTTACCTGCACAAGTATATGAAGAAGGTTCCTGGTGCCCCCAGACAGCCTGAGCTTGATTGCTGAAAATAAAAGGAAAACAGGATACTTGTGATACACACAGATGCTACTCTGTCAAGTCGAACCACAGCATTCTTGTATGAAGAAGGATTTATTGCCACACCTTTAATCCCAGCACTCAGGAGGCAAAGGTAGGTCCAAATTCGAGATCAGCCTGGTCTACATACAGAGTAAGTTCCAGAACAGCCAGGGCTACATAGTGAGACCCTGTCTTAAAAAAAAAAAAAAAAAAAAAAAAAAGGAAAAAGAGAAAAGAAGGAAGGGTTTGTTGCACTATAGAAAGGAAAAAAGACCTTCATCCCTTAGTAAACACAAAAGAAAAGTAAAAGTTAAATCTAATTGATATATTGTGCTATACAAGGAAATGAAAAGAAAATCATGTAGCTAGCAGTAACACTTGTATACAAAACAAACAGGTTTCTTTCTAAGTTCTCTTAAATTCTTAAGAATATTTTGAACATTTATTAAAATTTTCCTTTTATAGAAATGTATAGTTTTTAAAGAATAGGAGAACTTTATGTATTTCTTACTAGCCGGACTATTAAGAAAAATCAATACTGTAAATTTTCTTTAGTTCTAGTTGGTTACAATTGTATGTTTATATATACTGTCTTAGAAGTTGAAGAAGGAAAATTACTGACCATATATAATTGCAGCTGTCACAAAGACTAAGGCAGCATACACAGGGCCTGCCTGAATCGTGTATATATTATAGTTTCCAGATTCGTGTTTTTATGGGACTCCTGAGTGTGCAAATAAGTGCATCTCTGCTTGTGTCTTCTTTGGGGCTTTTTCCTTCTCTTTGTGTTGCCCAGTTCCAATGTGTTAGTTTTTGTTTTATCCTATTATATTTTATTTTTATTATTATCTCTTAGAAGCCTGTTTGTTTTCTAATGAGAGACAGAAAGGGTGTGGATCCACATGGGAGGGAACAGGAGGGGAAACCATAATCAGAATATATTATGAGAGGAAAAAAAAACTATTTTCAATAAAACAAAAAAATGTCTCTTTACAGGTTGTTTACTGGCAGAACAACTAGCTTAATGACTCTGTTCAATTTTTAGGGGATAAGAAACGTGAAAATCAGACTGCCTTGAAGCAAGAGGCCTCCCCCAAGGAACAGGTGATAAAAAATGAAAATTAAGAATTTTAGTGGCATTTCATTTTTTTTTTTTTAATAAATAAAACTTGCCGCCTGAAGATCAAAGAATGAAACAGCCCCACTGGTCAGTCTTACAGACCAGGCAGTGGTAATACACACCTTTAATCCCAGTAGCCACACTAATTGCCATAGAAACCAGGCGGTGCATGATTTTAATGCCAGTGGTGCACACCTTTAGTCCCAGCCCTAGAGAGGATTATAAAATGGGTGGAGACAGCTCTCAGTCTTATTCTCATTCTGAGATTCCTGGAGGCAAGATCGCCATTTTGGACTGAGGTTGATATAAAAGCCAGTGGCTGGCTGCGTTGCTTTTCTAACCTTCAGGTTGAACCCTAATTTCTGTCTCTGAGTTTTTATTAATCATGCTACAAAGAATAAATATAGAGAAGGCAGATGGACTTTTAAGAGTCCAGAAGATTAAAGCAGTCTCCCAGATTAGAGGGGAAAGAGTAGGCAAAATGGTTCTGGTGCTTTCGATGAACCTTAAGATGCTCTCAGTATTCTCCCCTTGTCATGAGTGTTCCTATGGAATTCCCTACTGTTTAGTATGGACAAAGCCTATGAAGATGAACAGATTTCATTCCCAAATTGTGGGTGGTTTGAAGTTAATCAAAGGAATCTTGGGTAGGTCCTTCCTAATAGGCAAGTCCTTAAAAGAGACAAGCAAAACCAGAAGGTGTAAAAACCAATAGCCATGTTTGAGAGGTCATGGGAAAGCCTGAAGGTGATATTTTTCTCTGAGGATTCCAGTTAGTTCTAAGGAACTTTATTCTGCCTATTAGTAAGGTGGAAGAGAACTATGATGCTCAGACGAGATTGGCAGTATGATTTCGGCCCCAGAGCAGATGATCTAGTTAAGCTGTTCTTGGACTCCTAGACAATAAATGGATGTTGTCTCATGACCAAAAAATATGGTAATTGCTTACATAATATTGGAAAACCGTAGGCTTTGATACTAAAAGAGGGGTGCTATACTTCACCAATACCTAAAAGTTGGAAGTTGTGTTTGAAATCAGTCAGTGGTAAAAGCTGAAGAATTTTGAAGGACATAATAGAGAAAAATCCTATACTGTCAATGGGAGTATGGACTTTTTAGTGGTTTGGGCTTTTTTTAAATTTTTTATATGTATATGTGGTTTTTATTTGTTTGCTTGTTTTTTTGTTTGTTTGTTTGTTTTTAAGACATGATTTTTCTATATCGTCCTGGAACTTTGTAGACCAGGCTGGCCTCAAACTCAAAAGGATTCCCTTGCCTCTGCCTCCTGAGTGCTGGGATTAAAGGTGTGCGCCACCAGACCCAGGCCAGGTGTATGGACTTTAAGGGTGCTGCTAGAAAGAGCTCAGAAGGAAATGGGGGAGCATGTTATTGAAAACTGGAGGTAAAGGGTTTCTTTCCTTCTTTTTTTCTTCTTTAGATTTGTTTATTTATTATGTGTACAGTGTTCTGCCTGCACACCAGAAGAGGGCACCATATCTCATTATTGGTGGTTGTGAGCCACCGTGTGGTTGCTGGTTGAACTCAGGACCTCTGGAGGAGCAGTCATTGCTCCTAAGCTCTGAGCCATCTCTTCAGCCCCAGAGATTCCTAAAAGGTGGTAGCATTGAAATAAGATCCTAGGAAGTTTGAGATTTCAACTATGACTTTGAGCCAGGCTGAACATAGAAATCTATGACTTATTCAAAATAAGGCAATATTCTAGTTATCTCAGTATCTTTTTTTCAATATCTTTTAGAGCTAGAAAAGAGTAACTATTTGTACTTGCAAGAGGACAGATGGTAGATTTAAGTCAATGATTGTGTAATACTTTGTCATAGGAAGTACAAAATGACTAAAGGAAACATACTGGGACCTACCCTCAAAGTAGAGGCTTTCATTGTACTGGCATTGCTTATTTTGAAACTATAGCTTAAACATGGGGATGTCGTTTATCAGAGGATTAGAACTCTAAACTCCATTCAAAATGACCTAGAATCATTTAGAATGTACAGGAAGTCCTGTGGTCATTATGGGAAATATGCTAATGGGGTTTGAAATTAGCATGTTTTCGTATATATCACTTAACAGTAACAGCTTTTTTTGTTTTTCAAGACAGGGTTTCTCTATATAATAATCCTGACTGTCCTGGAACTCATTTTGTAGACCAGGCTGACCTAGAACTCACAGACAGCCGCGTGCCTCTGCTTCCTAAGTGCTGGAATTAAAGGTGTGTCCCGCACCTCCTGCAACATTGGCGGCTTTGTTTGTGTATGTGTGTTTGTGCACATTCACATGCATGCTTATGCGTGGAGATCAGAGGTCCATGTCGGGCATTTTCTTCAATTGCTCTCCATCTCTCTCAGTGAACCTGGAGCTTGCTGGCTTTGCTAGATTGGCTAGTCAGCATGCACTGAAGATTTTCCTGCCTCTGCCTTTTCTATTTGCCTGGACTCTGGGGATTGAACTCAGGTCTTCATGTTTATGTGGCAAACACTTGACCAATTGAACTATCTCCCCAACACTTACTCGATAACTTACAATAACTTCAAGTGTGAAGAGTTTTCTTTGGCACAGTGTTTTATGATGAATATAGTTTACAGTGTCTAGAGCATGGTGGTAATTTTAGCAGACCAGTGGTTTATGACCCTGGCACTTGGCTTCACAGGAACAAGTCCAGAGCCTGAGTTGTCTGGGGTTGGACAGGCCTGGAACTTGAGTTGATGGTGGCGAGTCTGAAGCATTCCTGGCTGGAGCCTGGGCCTGTGGAGGCCAGAGTCTACTGGAGTGGCCTTGTCTATATTGGAGTTTGGGGCCAGCCTAGCCAGTGTAGGGTCTAAAGTGTAGGTCCTTAAGAGACAGTTTGGAGTCTAGTCTGAATGGCAGCCTGACATGTCAGCTATAGAAGGTAACTCTGAGTGCTGGCCTGAGGCTAGGTCCATTGGACTAGCCTGAGCCTATACCTATAGGTAATAGCGTGGGTTTTTTTTTTTTTTTGGTCACTGCACTTAGCCTGTGTTTGATATGGAAATAGAGGCTTTGTTCTCAAGGCAGACCTAGAACCTGAGTTCATGGAGATAAACTGAATACTAAGGACAATCGGGCTGGCCTCTTCACTGGGTTTGCTGAAATGAACCTGGTCCCTGAGCCCTCGAGGATGGAGCTGTGGGGACTAGTGTGGATCTCTGGGCAAGCAAGAGGCTGCTATGTGTGCCAACCAGCCTAGAATCTGGGTCTCTACCAGAATGGCCTGGGCTAATTTAGAGTCTGGAACTGTAAAGGCAAGCCTGGTGTCGGAATGAACCTGAGTTCTGGGAATATGGTCTAACCTGACACTGGGGTTGGCCTACAGTCTATGGCGTCTGGTTTTTCAGTGGTCTAGGCCTGGAGGCTGGGCCTGGTCTAGAACCTGGGGTGGGTCTGAATCACGGGTGTGCAGGGTCTTTGGGCCTGCCTGACTTTGAGGTTCATGGTTGGGGGTCTGATGCTGTGCCTTGTAGCCCTCAGGTGTTCAGTTTCCTCTGTCTCCTGCTGTGCTGGTTGGGCTGCATGGAGGGTGACGCAGGTGAGGTGAAGCCATGCTTCCTTCTTTAATACGTCTTTCCTCATCGCCACACGGCAGCCAGGTGCTGCAAGCTGTCACCTGGATTGCTGAGCTCTGGCAAAGGTGTTTTGATGTGTGACTACTAGTTTGATGTGATGGTTTTGGAGGGCAAGAACATTGGAAAGTCCTAATCAGCCATCTTGCTGTTGTAACTCCTAAAATATAAACTTTAAAAGGGGTTCATTAAGGTTTCTATTTTGCTTTACAGAGCAAGTATATGTAGCAACATAAATACCACAAGTGGGGATACAATTCTCTTCTGTTATAAAAGTAATGTTCAGATTATGGGTATTCTATTCAGCAAAAAACTGTTGCTAGTGACTAAAGGAAAAGTCTAGAAATGCATCTCCTGGGTTTGACTCTCAACCAGTCACCTTGTAATCCATCTCCAAAATGCTTTGAAATCATGGTGATCCACCTGCCTCAGGCTTCAAGAGGCTAGGATTACGAGTCTGTATCACCATGCCTGGCTCAGAAATTGACTCTTGAGACAAGGTCTTAGTATGTTAGAATGTAGCTCATGCTTCTGTGGAATTCACTGTGTAGCCCAAGCTGGCCTTGAACCTAGGATTCTTATATGTGTTTCCCAAGTACTAGGATCACAGGCACATGCTACCACACCTGGTTTATCATGTCATGTTTTTATGTTACAGAGAACTTGATTCTCCTTGCCCTGCTCTGTGGACCAGGCTGGCCTTGAACTCAGAGATTTCTTGCCTCTGCCTCCAGAGTGCTGGAATTAAAGGTGTATACCATCATGCCCAGCCTGAATTTGATATTTTTATATAATAGAAATGATTTTACTCATTATCAGTAACTATAAAAAATGCCCATATTTATTGAGTCACTACTCACTGTTTCATTCAGGATGTTTTATCTTGTTTTTATTTATTTATTTTTCTCTTTGGTGAGAATATAAATTAGTCCAGCCAGTATGAAAAGCAATGTGGAGGGCCTTCAAAATGTGGAAATCAAAATAAGATGGTCCTCTACTGCTCCCTGGGTATATACCCAAAGGAATCTCAGTCAGCATAGAGGTGAGATACTTGTATATCCATGTTTATTGCATCATCATTTACAATAGCCAAGATACAGAAGCAGACTTGATCCCCATCAACACATGACTCAATAAAGCTGAATAAAGAAAATGTAGCATATACAGTGACATTTTAATGAGATATAAAGAAGAATGTAATTCTGCAGGTGGAACTGGAGATAGTTAAGTGAGTGATACTCAAACTATTACATGCTTATGTGTAGTATTGAATTTTTTTTAAAGATGATTGGGTATAAGAAAAGCCTTGGCAAGAAAAGAAAATAAGAGGACAAATATGAAGAAAAATTGATAACAATGCATGAAATGTCATAATAAAAATCATTTTG